GGTCAACCAAATATCCACACATAAAACTCCCCCACACGTAAAATCAGACAATGTCCCCATTGTCGATCTGCAGTGTAAGGAAGGTGAACTACATAATCAACCGACACGACACAACAAAGAGAAAATACAAAAATAAACATAATAAAGAGAAAATAAAAAGAAAAGAAAAGCTAACCAACACAGTGACAAGTCACTGTGGTCCAGGAGGAGGAGGAGGAGGATAGGGCTAGCCGGCCCCGAAACCGAACTGAGCATTCCACCGGCTGAACTGCTCGTCCCACTGATTGTGACGGGCCTCAATAGCCTGAAAGCACAGGTTGACGCTCGCGAACCGGGCGCTAATGTCTCGTATGTGACGATCATAACGGTCCTCGAACGCCGTCCACCAAGGCGGAGGTTGGGACCACCAGGCTGGCGGGGCAGACGACTTCACTGGGCGCTGCTGATAGATGTGTGGCTCGGGGCTCTCGGCGATCGGGCTGCCAACCGGAGGGAGACTGAAGGAGATGGCTATCGTCGAGAACATTCTGATGATGCTCCATTCCCTCCGTCTCATGGGTACCGTCGGTCTTCTGCTGAGGACGAGATGATCTGGCCTGGGCATACGGAAGCGGCAACATTCAAATTGTTCATGTATGTGGAGTAGGCTCCGTGCTACCTATAGTCAATGAATGTACGCCGGTCGGAGATCAGGTTCTTCACCTCAAACGGGTCAATGCGCCGCATCGGAACAGGTGGACTGTCGGACGTCGTCGGATCGACATTGAAATGTAGGCAAAAGTTGTCACCACGTGTCCAAATCATGCAGCCACGTGCTTATTCCGGAGCACTGCCCGGAGCTCTTCCTTCAAAACCTCCTGCATATCTAATATCTTATTCCTGAGCATGGCCCAGAGCACGGTAAGGTCAATTTGCGTGACCTTATTAGCCTCCTTCTTCCCGAAAGGGCCATAGTACAAGAACCTATGCATAACGGCAATCGCACCGTGCTCGATGAGGCTTTTGGGCATGCCTTGAGAGTCCCATATAGTGTCGGGAGAGAGCTCGGTCCAAAATCGAGCGGGAGTCATGTCGGATACTGCCGAGTAGCCGTCACCCATAAGCCCGATTACGCGTTACTAATTACCCTTGCTGGCCCAAGCAGACAACAAGTCATATATTCGGAACCAAAATTATCCTTCCGGAATTCAAGTGTACTGGAAAACTTGAGCATGAGGTTCCGGTAGGTCGGATGGAAGACGTCGGCATACTTCCTCAACCATAGCGTGTCTAAGTAATGCTCGACCGTCTCCAAAATGTCAAGGTCCATAAGCAATGTGAAGTTGAATGTATTGGATTTCAAGACCTCCTTCTTAGCGAGCCGGGAGGAAATTTCCCCCTCTCGTTCCTCGAGGATAGTGAAGGAGGCATTGTACTGTGCTCGTATATTGACCGGCTCAGCCCGGGAGGAGGATTCTCCATGAGTGGCCTTCTTTTTGCTATTTCGTTTGGTCACCATTGTGAATTGGAAGGTCACTTGGAAAGAACTTGAAAGGGAGAGTTTGAATGTAAACAACAATAGCTGTACCCAAATATGTGTCCTTCCTCAACCAAAATCCCTCAACAACTACGCAAGCAAGACTAAGCTTTCAGAAAATAGCAATAATTACAAGTCCCAGGCTTCAAATTATCTAACCTGTTAAAGTTGGAGGTGGGGCTTTGTTTGTCCCATTTTTGTGTCTTTATTTTGGGGTTATTTTCTTTTTATTTTACCCCACTTCTAGGATTTTAGTAGTTAATTTGGTCTAATTCTGTGGTTTTGTGTTTTTTCTCGGTAGTTTCATTTTGTGTGTCTTTTTGCTGTGTTATGCTTCGTGTTTTCTTTGTGTTTGTGTTTTCCCCAGAAGTTGAAGATATATAAAGACGCGCGACTCGTGACCTGGGAAAAGAGGAAGTCGCGACTCGCGATTTACTCGGCGTGAATTTTGAGGACGGGATTTTTACTTCATAGTTTCATCCAAGGGATCATTATTCACTTTTCAGACTTTGTTTTTACGTATTTTCTCTCTAGAAACTCATTAATTTTCATTAGTTTGCACTTTGGATTTTTTCTTGGAGATTGAAAACTCCTATTTCTCGCTTTGAATTTGGATGCTTTTAGATTTAACATTGTGATTTTATATTAATCGTAAGTTCCTTTTCCCAATTTCTCTATTGATGATGATGACTTGGGTTATTGAAATTTGTGATGTTGAATTCCATATGAGTAGCTAAATCCACTCGCTAGGGATATGGGACGATTGATTAGGTTCAATTAATGATTGCTCGTTCTTGATTGCTCATGTCTATTCGAGTTGTGTTTATTCTAGGGTTAGTAGATTGATAACCTTTCTAACCTAGCTAATCAACGTGTAGAACCAAGAGGGGAGACGTTGGTCGATTTAGGCTCGTTTAGGATAGACTTGTTCGGTGACGTAATATCTATGTGTTGTTGGAACTGATAGTTGATCGTTTACATTCACTCTTTTGTTACGAAGAGTTATTGAGAGTGAATCTCTGAACGAGAAACGATTCACTTCCTTTAACCGAGCAATTGATTGCCTGTAATTGTGTTAGAACAGAAAGAAATTATCCCTGATTCCCTAGTTTTTTAATCATCGAGTTAATTCATTTGCTATTTAAACCGCTTTTCATTTATTTTGAAGTCATTAGCTATATTTGAAACCAAAACCATTGAAATAGAGTGTTTAGGAATTTTTCTTTTCTTTTTCATGATCGAATAATCGTACAATTGAATCCGGCTAACCTCCGTGCGATACGACCCGGGGAACGAATCTTTCGATTCTACTCCGGTAAAAATACTCACAACAAAATTGGTGCCGTTGCCGGGGAAGGTTTAGGACTTTAATTGTGCGCCTATTCGTTTTTTTAAGTGTTTCTCTTCATTTTTATTTTTCTTAGTTTATTAGTTCTTATTTTTGGTTCTTTGTTTTTTTTTCGTTAGATTTTCTTAGTTGTCTATCTGGTGCTCGTGATGGTTTCTTTGTATTTGTGTATGCGTACCAGGAGTGTACGCGTACTATATCCTATCGACAAACCGTTCAACGAGAGTCTGAGAGAGCTTCTTGACAAGCTTACTCTGAAATCGCAAGAGGAAGACGAGCACTCTCCGAAATCATCTGAGGGAAACAACTCAGACATGGGTGAACAACAGCAACAACCGCCCCGTAACACCCTCCGAACCTTAGCCCAGCCGATGATCGGGCCAATCACCTCGTGCATTCGTTTGCCGGATGTTGCACGGAACTATGAACTAAAAATGATTTACTACAACCAACTGCCGGCATTCCACGGGCTTCCAAGCGAGCACCCACTCAACTTCATCTGGGAATTTTACAACGTCCTCAACACTTTCCCTCTCAGTGGGCTTAATGACGAGCAGTTGAAGTTGAGGTGCGTTCTTAGACACTGAAGGACCAGGCCAAGGCCTAGTTGATGACACTTGCACCTGGCTCTCTCACTACCTCGACTGAGGTGTACTCGAAGTTCATTGGGAGGTACTACTTTCATTAGAAGACCCAGGAGCTTCAGTCATAGATCGTTTTGTTTGCTCAATTACCTATTTGAGCCTCTTCACGAGGCTTGGGAGCAGTTCAAGGATCTCCAGCGGCAGTGCGCTCATCACAATCTCTCTCCGGGGCTATTGATGAACTGTTTCTATGACTCCCTCCACCAGAACATGCAATATATGGTTGACAATACGGCAGGAGGGGATATTGGATCAAAGACGGCCGAGGAGATGTTTGAAATTTTCGAGACAATGAATGCAAACTCATCGCAGAAGAGCAACTGGGGGAAAAAAGCGATAGTGAACGAGGTCGGAGCAAGCCATGACTTGATGGCCCAACAGTTGGCTGAGCTTACAAACCCTACTACACTCCAACAACTAAAGGGATTCCTTGGTCTCACCGGGTACTACAGAAAGTTCATCAAAGGTTATGGCATCATAAGCAGACCACTCACATACCTGTTAAAAAAGGACAAGTTCAAATGGGGATTAGAAGCTGAAAGAGCCTTCCAAGAACTAAAGAAGGCTATGCTCAGTGCACCTGTGTTGGCATTACCTGATTACAACAAGCCATTTGTCTTAGAAACAGATGCCAGTGGGCAAGGGGTGGGAGTTGTCCTTATGCAGGAAGGCCAGCCTATAGCCTTCATGAGTAAGGTATTGTGTCCAAAGAACCAAGCCCTATCTATCAATGAGAAAGAATTTTTGGCAGTTCTGATGGCAGTTCAAAGGTGGAGATATTATTTGCAAGTCAGAGCCAGTCAAGCAAGCGGCAGAATAGAGCCGGATCGTAGGCAAGCCTGTTACTTTACTTGGGAGGAAATTGACTTCGATTGAATTAGCCGACTGATCAGCAGGCTCTAAGGCATTTGTTAGACCAAAGAGTGATGTCACCTGTTCAACAAAAGTGGATCACCAAGCTACTTGGTCTGGATTATGAGATCAGGTACAAAAAAGGGGTAGAGAACAAGGTAGTTGATGCATTGTCTAGAAGGGGAAATGATGAACCTGAATGCTTGGCTATCACTAATGTGGTACCCTCTTGGGTCTAAGAGGTCAAGGATAGCTACACATGGGATCCTTTTTGCTCAAAAATCCTGTCAGCTAACATTATTGATCCTAACTCTTACCCCCAATTCACCATCCAGAGTGGCTTGATCAGACATAAGGGAATGTTGTTAATTGTGACTTCCACAAATTTGAGGAGTTCCATTTTGACTACTATGCATAATTCCACCTATGGGGGTCATTCAGGGGTATTTGGTACCTACATGAGAACTGAAAGTGTCTTTTATTGGCCCAACATGAAATCAGACATCATGAAACTCATTGACCAGTGTGATGATTGCAAGAGAAGTAAAAGTGGTACAGGTACCTATCAGGGGTTGCTACAACCTGTACCTGTTCCTAATTAAGCTTGGTCACATGTAGCCAAGGACTTCATTGAAGGGCTACCAAAGTCAGGAGGCAAGGATGTTATCCTGGTAATCATTGACAGATTCACCAAGTATGCTCATTTTTTAGCAATCACATACCCATTTACAGCCCCTGGCATTGCTAAGCTATTTCTGGATCACATCTATAAGCTACATGGTCTACCAGTTAGTATAGTGAGTGACAGGGATAAAATTCTTACAAGCGCCTTTTGGAGAGAGTTGTTCAAATTACTTGGTGTTCAACTAAATATGTCATCTTCCTACCAGCCTCAGACTGATGGTCTATCTGAGAGATTGAAACAATGCCTTGAGAACTACCTAAGAGGAATGGTGCAAGATAATCCTAAACAGTGGTTCAAATGGCTATCCATGGCTGAATTTTGGTACAATACCAATCATCACACCAACTTAAGGATGTCCCATTTTCAGGCTTTATATGGGTACTCACCATAAAGTTTTTCCATGGGGCCATACCTAGATTCTGCCTTACCTATACTCAAAGACATCATACAACAAAGGTTGGTTCTAACCCAGCAACTCAAGGAAAATTTATCAAGAGCCCAAGCCAGGATGAAGTTTTTTGCAAACAAGAAAAGAGAAGAGAAGCAGTTCCAGGTAGGGGAAAAGGTTTTTCTTAAATTACAACCCTACCGACAAAACTCCATATCCCTCAGAAAATGGGTCAAATTGACATCCAAATTTTATTGACACAATTACATAAAAGGTTGGCCAAGTCTCTTACCGGTTAGCTTTGCCAGAGGGTTCACAGGTCCATTCAGTTTTTCATGTATCTCTCCTTAAGCGCCAACCTCAGCCAGTCGTTTCCACCGCAGACCGCCTGAAATAGATGAAGAAGGACATGTCAAGATTACACCTTTACCAACTCTGTCGAAAAGGATGGTGTTGCGAAGTTAAAAAATGATACCTCAGGTCATGGTCCTTTGGGATGACACCACGACGACACCGACTACTTTGGGATGATGAACCACATCTCAAGTATTTCATTTTATCTTCAGATCCTTGCGGACAAGGATCTCTCTATCAAGGGGTAATGTCATGGACACGATTGCAAATGATGGAAAGACGGCGACTTTGGGTCTAAAAGACATAAAGGAGGCGACTTTGGACAACGATGTGGTGGTCGTTAATAGTTTTTCTGGGGAAAAAGACAAAGGAAAGATGGAAGAGCTTGGGTTTGAAATGACCAAGGAGATGGAGAAGTAGACAAAGGGTTATTGTGCTTAGTTTTATTTGGGCCAAGTGTTGTTATGGCTTTATTTTATTTTGGGCCAATTATTTAATTATGTTAGCCCAAGTATTTATCACTTTATTTAGTTATTGGGTAAAATAGGTAGAAGCCCACTGTTGTTTGGCATTTTGTATTGTGGGACCACATGACGATTTAAGTGTGAGGAAGCACATGCAGATCGATTATGAATGACATACCAAATTTCTCTCTCTCTCTCTCTCTCTCTCTCTCTCCCTTCTGTTCCTCCCTCACCTTCTCTAACATTTCTCCCCCAACTTTCTTCTATCTTTCATTTACAGTAATTATAGAAAATACTAAAAAGTTATAAATATACATTGAGCGTAGCATGCCGGTCAAGGACGAGACTGTTGGAGCCGAGACCGTGATGCCAAGAATACCCGTTGTGGAGCTTAGAAGCTGAAGGAAGGACCGAAAATACGGACTGAAGATGAGCTGAGACTTTTTCGCAACTCGTCTCGACTCGCAAGAAGATCGCGAGATGCGAGAAAAACAGAGCCGAAAGGGGAAGTTCGCGAGACGAGTCGCGACTCGTGAGTCAAGGTCGCGACTCGCGAGATAGAGTTGCGACTCGCAAATTCGGTCGCGATTTTCCTCAAAAGTTAAGATATTTGAAGACGCGCGACTCGCGGAAATCGCGACTCGCGACCTGGGAAAAGTGGAAGTCACGACTCGTGACTTATGTCGCGACTCGCGACTTACTTGGCGCGAATTTTGAGGACGGGATTTTTACTTCAGAATTTCAACCTAGGGTTCATTATACACTTTTCAGACTTCGTTTTTACGTATTTTTTCTCTAGAATCTCATTCATTTTCATTACTTTGCACTTTGGATTTGTTCTTAGAGATTGAAAACTCCTATTTCTCACTTTGGATTTGGATGCTTTTGGATTTAACATTGGGATTTTATATTAATCGTAAGTTCCTTTTCTCTAGTTATGATAATGACTTGGGTTATTGAAATTTGTGATGTTGAATTTCATATGAGTAGCTAAATCCACTCGCTAGGGATAGGGGATGATTGATTAGGTTCGATTAATGATTTCTTGTTCTTGATTGCTCATGTCTATTTGAGTTGTGTTTATTCTAAGGTTAGTAGATTGATCACTATTCTAACCTAGCTATCAACGTGTAGAACCGAGAGGGGAGACGTTGGTCGATTTAGGCTCGTTTAGGATAGACTTGATTCGGTGATGTATTGTCTATGTGTTGTTAGAATTGATAGTTAATCGTTTCCCTCACTAGGCAAATATATGGCTGTCAGTCAAAGACATTAACCAAGCATTTCATCACGCTATGCCATATAATACCATCATCACAACTCATCGAATTCATTAAACAAGTGTTAACTCATCATGAATTTTCCAAAATACAGGCTCCAAAACACACAAAACCTACACTAGACCGGTCTACAAGCAAGAGAAAGAAATAAGACACATCCTAAAACAAAAAACTAGACCTGGTCAACCAAATATCCATACATAAAACTTCCCCACACTTAAAATCAAACAATGTCCCCATTGTCGATCCAAGGAAGGTGAACTACATAATCAACCGACACGACACAACAAAGAGAAAAATACAAAAATAAAAATAATAAAAATAAAAGAAAAAGAAATTAAAGCTAACCACATAATAAACATAATAAAGAGAAAAGAAAAAGAAAATAAAAGCTAACCAACACAGTGACAAGTCACTGTGGTCCACAAGGAGGAGGAGGAGCAGGATAGGGTTGGTCGGCCCCGGGACCGAACTCAGCATTCCACCGGCTGAACTGCTCGTCCCACTAATTGTGACGGGCCTCAATAGCCTGAAAGCGCAGGTTGACGCTCGCGAACCGGGAACTAATGTCTCGTGTGTGACGATCATAACGGTCCTCGAACGCCATCCACCAAGGCGGAGACTGGGACCACCAGGCTGGCGGGGCTGACGAGTTTGCTGGGCGCTGCTGATGATGTGTGGCTTGGGGCTCTCGGTGATCGGACTGCCAACCAGAGGGAGGCGAAAAGAAATGGGTATAGTCGAGAATAGTCTGATCATGCTCCATTCCCTCCGTCTCATGGGTACCATCGGTCTTTTGCTGAGGACGAGATGATCTGGCCTGGGCATACGGAAGCGGCAACATTCAACTTGTTCATGTATGTGGAGTAGGCTCTGTGCTGCCTATAGTCAATGAATGTACGCCGGTCGGAGATCAGGTTCTTCAGCTCAAATGGGTCAATGCACCGCATCGGAACAGGTGGACTGTCGGACGCTGTCGGATTGACATTGAAATGTAGGGCAAAAGCTGTCACCACGTGTCCGAAACACGCAGCCACGCGCTTATTCTGGAGCACTGCCCGGAGCTCTTCCTTGAAAACCTCCTGCATATATAATATCTTATTCCCGATCATAGCCCAGAGCACGGTAAGGTCGATTTGCGTGACCTTAAGTAGCCTCCTTCTTCCCGAAGAGGCCATAGCACAAGAACCTATGCATAACGGCAATTGCACCATGCTCGATGAGGCTGTTGGGCATGGATTGAGAGTCCCACATAGTGTCGAGAGAGAGAGCTCGGTCCAAAATCGAGCGGGAGTCATGCCGGATACTGCCGAGTAGCCGCCACCCAGAAGCCCGATTACGCGTTCCAATTCGGCGGTACTAATTACTCTTGTTGCCCCAAGAAAACAACATGTCATATATTCGGAAGCAAAATTATCCTTCTGGAACTCAAGTGTACTGAAAAACTCGAGCATGAGGTTCCGGTAGGTCCAATGGAAGACATCGGCATACTTCCTCAACTGTAGCGTGTCTAAGTAATGCTCGACTATCTCCAAAATGTCAAGGTCCATAAGCAATGTGAAGTTGAATGTCTTGGATTTCAAGACCTCCTTCTTAGCGAGCCGGGAGTAAATTTTCCCCTCTCGTTCCTCGAGGATAGTGAAGGGGGCATTGTACTGTGCTCGTAGATCGACAAGCTAAGCCCGGGAGGAGGATTCTCCATGAGTGGACTTCTTTTTGCTATTTCATTTGGTCATCATTGTGAATTGGAAGGTCACTTAGGCAAG